CTGGATTTCAGAAAAGCACTTGATACAGTATCACAGGGGAGGGGAGCCAACACAAGATGTCTTGGACAGAAATACAATTAAAATGGATCAAAAACTGGCTATCTAACCGTATACAGAGAGTAATCGTAATTGGTAGTCCGTCTAGTTGGGGAGAGATTTCCAGTGGGGTCCAGGGATCGGAATTCGGTCCCATTTTGTTTAATATCTTTATAAAAGACCTGGAAGACAAAGTAGAGAATAGGGAATGGTGGTCAAACCTAGAGGCGGCATAGAAAAATGCAAAAGCATTTTAGGAACTATAAGGACAAACTAATAAAAATGAGATTTTTCACTAAAATAAAAGAAAGATTATACATTTGTGACAAAATAATTCTAAATGTCCATACAAAATGGAAAGAAAAGTTTATTGACCTCTAATGCTATTCTTAGCCAGATAGAGAAGTTCACGGTTAGAAAATAAAATCCAATATAATATTAGTTTGGGGCGTATAAGCCATATTATCTCTTCAAGGTGCAGAGAGGCAATACTCCTGCTTTACTACATCAGCACTTGCAATACTGTGTATCATTTTGGGCATTTCAGTATGAAAAGGATAATAAATTGAAGGTACTATCAAGATGACAAAGGTAGGAGGAAACATCACACGGTATGAGGATAGACTGGGAACATTAAATAGATACCTATATAGGCTGGAAAAGAGCGGTCAAGAAAGAATGTGTTGACTATCTGCAAATGACTTGACTGTCCCCAGTAAAGGGAAGCGGGAACTGTTGAAGTCAGCACAGGAAGGCAAACTTGGAAGTAATAGTATGAAATTGCTTACAAGAAAAACAATGAGACTTGACATGAGGTTGTTAAAAGAGTTAAAACATGGAATAAATTGCCGAGGTCAGCTGATGAAGCTTCAACTTTAAAATATAGGCAGGTGAGGACAAAACACCTGAGAAATACAAAAGGGAAATTCCTGCATACTGCAGGAAGGTGGGGTTTGATCATCTACATGGTCTTTCCAAGCTGAAGTGGCTATGAAGTAAAATAGAGTTTTTCATATAGGATTTGTTTTTAACTAGTCCATGGTTACATATTTCCAGATAATCTATTGTGAAATTTTCCTTGCTCTTGTGGACTTTTTAACAATCCTTGATTTCATTATTGAAACTACACACTGCAAAACACAAAACAAACAAAAAGGATATAGGACCCCCCCCCAAAAAAAGAAAGACAGACAGACATTGGGTTTCTGTCCTACCTGAATTCTCAAAGATAAATAGATGCAAGGCATTTCACATGAATATAGTATGAAATGTAATTGAAAATATTAGATTAGAACACACTGTCATATGGAAAAGCTCATAGGAGGTCCTGGATGAGGGCTGGTGGGGTTCAGTCCAATGTCATAAACCAGAGGCTAATACTTCTGACTCTCAGAACCCCCAACCTCCACACAGATCACAAGGGATTCACAGGAGGCCCTGGACATAAAAAACAAGTCCCTGTGCCTTTCTACTGATTCTGGAACTCTCTACTCCTGGACATCAAGGAGCAAGTGGAGCCAGGCTGCCAATGTTTCTGCCTGCCCTGGAACAGCTGCCTGGAAGGGAGCAGAGCCCTGCAGCACACTGGGATCCCACAGATCCTGCAGGATGTGCTGCCATAATAGCAGGAGTAGGTACAATATATTTTCTTGCGGGAGGGTTTGGGTGGCCAGAAAAAAAAAAGAAAAAAGACTGATAATTTGCAGGAAAACACTTTAAAACTTTTAATACTTAAATTTAAGCGAGGGATAGAAAGAGATTTGATGTCTATTATAACCAGAGTTAAAGTATTTTTACATGGTTTAAGCAAGATTTGTTTTATTCTTTTAGTGGTAAAATTTCTGTCTATATAAAAACTGACTGTGGGTTTTTTTGTTTTTAGTAGCATAGGCGAATCCATCTCTCTGGTGAGATTTGTGGGATCTAAGGCTTTTGTGGCTGGGAGCAGGATAAAAATGCAAGAAACAATACAGGAGTGGTTGGGAGTGGTTATTGCAGGGCGGGATGGGAGTGGGATTAAAAAAATAGTCTCACACAGGACTCTACAGGGGAGTTCAGCTGTGCAAGCGGGAGATGTGTTCATTTTTTCCACTGATTCCTCCTGAGAGGACTCAAGGATGGAGGGGACGATGAGTATTCCCTCTAGGGGTAGAGAAGTTGTAGCAAGAAAAATGTGAACCTCTGCTGGTTTCTGTGTTAAACCTTGAGGAAATATATTCCAGATTTATTGGACCAATGGGTAGTTCTACAAAATATAAATCTACCAACCTGGTGAATTGCAACATTTCCAGTGATTATGGATCCTCTTTCTAGCCCACTTCTCTATGATGTTTGTAGTAGTACAGCTGTATGACAATTTAAAGTTATGGGCCAGATTTTCAATAAGGATCCAGAACTTTTGTGCTGCTCCAGAGATGTAAGAGAGATTCTGGCTGTAACTGGGCAACTGAAAATTCCCTTGGCAAGGGCAAAAGCTCAGCTAGGGAAAGCTGGCACAGCCCGCTCCTGCATCAATTGCCCCCTCCCTGCCCAGTATAGGGGGCGCATTTTTGGAGGGAAGAGGCAGGGTGGAGCTCTGCTCTGCTTCACTCCACTCCATTGACTCCCACCTGGCATAAACTAGAGCAGGCCCTAGTCTGCTTCTACTCCGGGCCAGCAAAAACAGATCAGAATCAGGAAGCTGTAACTGACTCCCTGACACCTCCCATTTCCGCCACAGGAAAGAATTTGACCCTCACTGAAGTTATTTAACTCATTGAGATGCAGGGTTAAAACCGAGAATCTCTGACTATGATCCATATCAATGTGCTTGTTAGTGCCTGAATTTTAAGATTAACAGGATGAGCCAAATGGGCGCAGTTTGTCACTGGATGAAGTTATTGGTCATGCCATTATGTGACTGGCTGTGTGTGGGGATAATTATACAGAGGATAGCACAAGGGAACCTGTGAGCTGCAAAGATATACAGTGCAAACTGCACCCGGTAGCTCGGATGACATCATAGTAATTATGTGCCTGAATCTTTTCATTGATTTCAGTTAGTTTTGAATTAGGCCATCTGAGAGCAAAATTGGTTTGGATGGTGATGATAGATCCCTAAGATGTGTAACTTTATTCACAATTCTCTGTGTTGTGTTCAGTATATATTTTGATTTTCCTAAGATTCTAACAAGAAAAAAAGTGCTTTTTATTGTAAGTTTACACAAAATACCCTGTTGGGTTTTTGAGGGGCATGGTTCTGTTTGTTAAAGGAAAACCAGTTTAAAAAAAAACAAGTGAAATAAAATCTTGTGATTTTTTAAAATTGGTTTTAATTGAATTTGATTATGAACAGTGGAATGATGAAGGGTGAATGGGATGAGCTGTAAGAGTGTAACATCAAAGGTAAATACCAATTCTCTTGCATTTGCCTTAATTCATTTGCATACTACAATCCCATTAGATAAAAGCAGTTGTCTTATGGTTTTCTCATATTACAAAAAAATAAAATTAAAATAAAAAAACATAGCTAGTATATGAAATCTGAGCCATGAAATATAATCCTCCAATTGAAAACATTCAGTAAAGAATGTTTTTTTAGGTGCCAGCTGATAGTGGAATATTAGCGCCTGCTGTTAAAAATACATACCCCCTTTCCATTCCCCTACACCCACACTTAGTACATCAGCATAAAAATATGGGCAGATATTAAGTATTCCGCCCCCAGAGCTGTGTGAAACTTCTCCATTTCCATCCATGCAAACTTTTTCCTCTAGTTTTGAATTTGCACCCTTTGAGTTTCATGTTGAGTGACACAAGTGAAAAATCCCCCAAATTAAAAAAAAAAAAAGAACAGCTGAAATTTGTACATTTCATCTGGCCTCTGATTGAAAATTAGAACTCTGAGAGAAATCACAATTTTTATTTTGTTTTGTGGATTTACACACTTTTTTGCCATTTTGTGCTTGGCATGATTTGGTGCTTGCCCCCCAATTTTGCTTTATGTGAAATTTTACTGAAACTGCTACTTTGAATAATGGCCTCACTTTCATTACACAAAAGGAATGTAGGCACTTGAAAAAAGCATGTATCTTAGCAACTTTCCCCGCCCCAAATGGGCCCATTTTCAGATTCATAACTGAATGCATAAAAAAACTAACACCATAATTCTGACCCGTTTTGCATTTTGCCAAGAATATTTGAGACACTTGTAGCTGATAACATGCAAAACCACCAAGTTTCAATAGTTTCCTTAAAAAAGAAAACCCACATCACATCACTTCAGTTTCTCTGAAACGTTTTAGGAAACTGGTTCAAGTTTGGGGTTTGTTACCAAGGTTTCATACAGCTCTTTCTAACACATGAGCTTATAGCCATCATTTTGGATTTGCTCATTAAGGCCTCTAAGGAACAGGTTAATCTTTGTGGTTTATTTTGAAGCTTTCCTACCTCCATTTTAAGTGAGAATGCATCTGTGAGCTCAGCTTATTCCGAGTATGTGCTTTAAAAGCAGGGACGGCTCTATGTATTTTGCTGCCCCAAGCACGGCACTCAGGCGGCTTTCGGCGGCGCACCTGCGGGAGGTCCGGCTGGTAATGTGGATTCGGCGGAATGCCTGCAGGATGTCCGCCGGTCCCGCGGCTTCGGCGTACCCGCCGCCGAATTGCTGCCGAAGCCGCGGGACCGGTGGACCTCCCGCAGGCATGCCGCCGAAGGCTCCCTGACTGCCGCCCCCTGCGGCTTGCCGCCTCAGGCACGCGCTTGGAGCGCTGGTGCCTGGAGCTTCCCCTGTTTAAAAGAACATTCTAACAATCATGCATTGCTGAGATAGCTAAGTTTAATGCTTTGCAGAGCTAAGATATGCTTCTAGGAATCTGACTTGATATGTTCTACACAAGAAATGATACTTTTAAGCTCTGTTTGGAAGAAGTGAATCGGCTGTGGTCGCTATGAATGGCTAAAACATATTCCCCACTTCAATTTACCTTATTGACGTCCATTCGCAACTTCTCATTGTTGGCACTGGCAGCTTTTTCTGCCGCTTTCTTTTGACGTTGGGGTCCCCTGCCAAAGAAGATGTAGTTGACCAATGCATATTCCAGCAGGGCCATAAAAACGAAGACAAAGCATCCCATCAGATACATGTCAATGGCTTTCACATAGGGAATTTTGGGAAGAGTCTCTCGAAGATGGGTATTGATGGTTGTCATAGTGAGCACAGTTGTGATTCCTGGGAAAAGGAAGACAGTTCCATTGATTATATTAATGTTAATCTTCTATCATTATAACTCAATCTTTAAATGCCAGCACTGCAGGGACGTTAGGAAGGTATTTTTGTTCTTTGTTAAAAAAGCGTGGTGTTAGTGCAACTTATTACAGTTGTAATTGTCTCAAGACAAATACACAGTAATCTCGACTCATGCAAATATGCTTTCTTAATGGGAACTGTAGACTCTCCTAGCTACCTGGGTTATCAGCTGCCAGCATAGACACACTACGTCTTGCCTTACTGCTTTCCTCTAGAATGTTCTTGCTGCCTGTCTTTAGATTTGAATTCCTGGGAAGAAATCCTGGCCCCACTGAAGTCAGTGGCAAAATTCCCATTGGATTCAATGGTACCATGATGTCACCCACTCCTCCCTACAGGCTCCAGTTCTGATTTCCATGGAAGGAGGAAGTATCAGCAGGAGTGGGCTTGATTTGTGTTAATTTTTGGCAAGCACCATTCACATTTATATTTGCAATGTGTGCTTAGATACCATGACAAGGGGCATAATATAAACAAACCCTGAAAGGATAATTGATAAGATACATTAATATAAAGAGCAGTGTTCTCGGCATTATAAAGAGAAGTGTTTTGCTTGTGGAATTTAAGGTAACACTATGGAGAGGACACCCTCTACCTGGCAAGGGAGATTGGTTAGTCAAATGCACAGCCTGCCACAATTGTATCTACTTCACACCTGAAAGGAAAAGCAATGTATATTCTATACTACAGTATTGTAGGTTTGCTCTGGACTGCCATGAGCAGAAACAAATAAAATACATGCTATTTTTAGACTAAACACAAGTGCAATAAAAAAACCTGATTGAGACAATCAGGCTAATTCCAATTACAATGATTATATAGTTAGCTAATTCAGACATGAAATCACTTTCAATTTTTATTTAAATTGTGATGATTTAAATGCTGAATCAGATAATACAAAGCTTAACAAGCTAGGCAAAGAAACCCAACAGAGATTTTTTTTTTCAAATCATGCATTATATGTTACACCAGAAGCAAGAAAATTTATTCTACTAATACACAATGCATGATAGGAGTAAAAATACCTACCTAATGCAACTCTTGCAGCTGAAGCATCATAATTAATCCAGAATGAAACCCAGGAGAGGATAGTGATCAGAATGGAAGGCATGTAGGTCTGCAGAATGAAGTAGCCAATGTTTCTCTTAAGTTTAAAGCTGAGAGACAGCCTTGGGTAGGCACCTAAAAAGGGAATATTTAGGCATGGCTGTGATTTACTTTAGTATACCCTTAAAATTCTTTGCATCATTTCAGTTTTACACTCTGTTTCCTATGTTACAGATTTAGCATACACACAGAATTGCCTTAGCTTGGGGACAACCAACTGCAGATTTTATAATGAAGTCTGTATTCAACAGTATTTTGTACTAAAGGTGTTGAGTCAGTAGATTCACAGCTGCTGATAATTAAAATCTCCTATAATCAGCTGTCAAAATACATTTCAGAGTGCCAAACTGTGCAAAGGCTTCAGTCTTACATGACTATTGAATACCAAGTTAGGTGTCAAGCAATCTTCCCTATCTGAAGTGCCATACATGGTCACCAGGTGCTAAGGAGTATTGCAGGAGTGCGACTCAGGCAGGGTGATAGTGACCCTGGAGCACAAGGCCCTCACCAACCTATGCACACTGAAATTCCACTATTTTGAAGATTTCAGAGCACACATTCTTTGTATAAGTCTCTCCCATACAGCTGAACTTCACCCAGAATGAGCAAGTGAATGGGACTTTCCTGAACTTGGTTACAGACAGCAGCCGTGTCAGGTACTTAGGAAACAACAGTCAAATGAACAGTACGGGTATGATTCTGCTACCTCTCACATTGGTGTCACTACACTGTCTTAAATGGAGTTA